CCGACCCACCTCACCAAAACCCCCAAAACCCTAAACCCTCACCCTTCCAAACCCTAGCCCCTCTCGCCTCCCCTCTCCTCAAGACCACTTGCGCTGCCATAGCCGCAGCCGCATTCTTCTTCATGCGCTTCCACAACAGAACCGCCGTGGCCTCCCCCACAGTCGCGCCTTCTACTGTGGAGCCCAGAGAAGAAGTTTCGTCCACTGACAGCGTTACGGTCGAGGAGAAAGAGAGGCTCATTGAAGAGCAATTGACCCAAGACCCCAACGATGTCGAAGCGCTGAGGTCATTGATGGAGGTTAGGATCAAAGCCCACAAATTGACCGAAGCGATTCAGGTGCTGGACCGCTTGATCGAGCTCGAACCTGAAGACTATGAGTGGCAATTGCTGAAAGCCAATGTTCATAGCTACATGGGTGAGTTTGAACTCGCTACCAGTGAGTTCGAGGAGATTTTGGCCAAAGACCCTTTGCGAGTTGAGGCCTATCATGGTCTTGTGATGTCTGCTTCGCAATCCGCCGAGAAATTGGAGGATGTGGTGAAGAGAGTGGAAGAGGCAATGGAGGGGTGCAAGAAGCAAGGGAACAAGTCGGATGTGAGGGATTTTAAGCTGTTAATTGCCCAAATTCGTGTGATGGAGTCAAATTATTCGGAAGCTTTGAAGCTTTATCAAGAGCTTGTGAGGGAAGAACCGAGAGATTTCAGGCCTTATCTGTGTCAAGGAATCATTTACACTATGTTGAGGAAGAATAAAGAGGCTGAGAAACAGTTTGAAAAGTTCAGGAAGCTTGTTCCCAAGAACCACCCTTATAAAGAGTATTTCGATGACAATATGTTTGCCACGAAGCTTTTCGGGCAGAAGGTGGAGAGGGAGAGAGCAGAGTCGAACATCTGAGGGAATTATGTTGCTGAATTTTAGCTCATTGTGGTGGCTGGCTTCTGTAATGTGGTGGTTGCCTCTTGGTTTCTCTCTGCCTGTTTTTGGTTAATGCTTTGGCTGGTAGTGTTCATGCAAACTGTAGGTAACTTTAGTAGTAGTAGCAGTAGTAAAAGTATTCTTCAGACTGTAGAGCTTTCTGCACATCGATCAGTGAAATTTAATATCTTGTTGAACCATTTTTGTCTCAGTATTTGAAGTTATAGATGGAATGAAATTGTTTTTGATCTGCCAATGCTGAAATGATTAACTTCCCGTGTTGGTTAATGTGTTTATAACTCAAGAGCATGCATTGATTATTCCAGTACGGCTAATTGTATGATTTCGTTTTTATCAATGGTAATTTGGTAGAAAATAGAAATGGTTGTAATAATCTTTAGTGATGGAAAATCCTTTGGATAATTTTGTTTCTTTAAATGAGATTAATCCTACACGACTAGTTCTGGTTTTCACTTCATGTGTTCTAGCTCTGCTGCATATTATACCTTCATAAATGACATAGGATGCAATTTACCCCCATTTATTTCCTCTATTCAACTTTAAATTGTCTGCCCTAACTCCTAAGTTTCGGTAGCCCTGCCAGTTATAGTCATGTTGTTATACAGTCAATTTCTTGTCAGAAAAGCCTTAGTGCTGTTTTATTTTTTCAGTCATCATGTGTGGCCATTGATGCTGTACTTGGTTCAAAGTTGTTCCACATCTCATTAGGGGTTGAAGTCGGTGCAAATGTTCATAACAGGGAAGCTGTTCGTGATGAACTGTAGTAGTTTGTACATGAGAATTTTCGTATAATTCGTATGTGATCATTTGCATTGATGACTCAGTTTGAGCTTTATACATAGCAATGTGGCAGTGGACCAGTTGTAGTTGTTATGTTGACAGTGTGTATGTATACACAAATTGCACATAACTATGAAGGTAGTGGTGAAGATGTTCACAATTATGATCTGATTGTGTCTATAATTTGTAGCATATTTTGGTTGCTGATTTGAATCTTATTGTTTTGTGCTCTCTACTGCAATATTGTTCTTTCCTAATGTCATGGCAAGCCATTGGTCTCATCATATAGTTAATGGCTAATTTGGCTGTTTTTTTAAAAAATGTTTACCAATGGACAGAGCACCAATTGAATCAAAGCTGCAACTTCTGCTTAAGACTGCAGGCTCTCTACCTAGCTGGTGCAATTTAGTTCTTTGAAGTCTGCCAAAATCAAATTGGCGTGCGCGTCTGTGCATGCATTTTTGTGATGGGCGCTTGCCAAACCAGTATAACAGAGTATACCTAAACTTGCAGCTGCTAGTCTACTTGGATAACAATCACCATGACAAAGATGATGGCTTGTTAGGAAATGACCCACACTAGTGTAGTGGTTTGGAGCAATTACTCCTCGGGAAAGCTCTTGGGTTTAAGTCCCAGTATCCGTGTAGTATATTATTGCACCTCTCAATAGGAAATGTCCTAAAAAAAAAAGTAAAATGAAGGCTTGTACAATAAAGCTCTGGTGGCCCATTAGCTTTTAGTTAGCCCAAGAAGCGTACAGCTACAAGGCTATTCAATCAATCATCAAAATGATATTCACAATTTGGACCATAGTGGTAGGGCCTGAAACTACACTGGTTTTTTCTTTTGGGTCTAATTAGTTCATTAAAAGAAAACTCAAACTCATGAAATAGAGAGCAATGTCGGCAAGCAAACCACTGACCACCACAAACAAACACGGGCCAGCGGAAATAGAAAGCGAAAAACCAGATACAGAGAACGACGCAGAAGAGAGAAAAGACGAGAGCTAGTAACCCAGACAAAGAAGCATTTATCTAGATGAGGCAAAGGCACCCAGAGGTATGTAAGTATAAGTATGAATTGCTTCCCAACTAGTTAAAAATCTAATTTCCTCAATGAAATTAAATAAGTAAATTACATTATTGTTCTAAATCACTGTAATCAATTTCTCCCATTCATATGCATTGTAGGCTTAGTTTGCATGTAATTTCA